GCACATGCTCACAACACGGGTTAGTAGCATTTGCATTATCAATTAATACCAAGTGAGGAAATGTGGCCTTTTCCTTGGTTAGCTTAACTTGGAGTTGAGCATGAGACTCCTTGAGGTTTGCATGAGCACTTTTCAAGACCTTATGGGCCTTGTCAAGTACATCAAACTCCTCTTTGAGTCTAGCATGATCAACCCCAAGTTTAGCCTTCTCGGAAGTTAGTACACGAGACACAACAAGAGCATGATCAAGATCTTTCTTTAATTTGGCATGGTCATCGTTTTGTGACTCCTCAAGAGCCAAACGATGCCCACACTCTTCCTCAAGAGCATTAGAGAGATCCGATATCTCATTGGCATAGTCACGACTATGACCTTCCATCTTAGAGATGGTTTCTTCGTGAGCCTCGATCATGTCATTGGCTTCACCAAGTTGTTCCAAGAGAGCAACGAAGTGCTTCTTGGATTTGCCCTTGAGCTTACTCATGAAGGACTCAAATTCATTTACCTCCTCATTAGAACCCTTATCATCATCAAAGCCAACCATCGAAGAAGGATTAGGAATAATGGTGGTTTTGATGTTGGGGGTTACCTTGTTGGTGGCTTTAGCCATGAGGCACTTGGCGGTGATGTTCTCGTTGGGTGAATCGAAGAGAGACACCCGGGGAGTTGTGGCAATGGCAACGGATGCCATAGCCATTGCTTCACTATCTTCATCATCATCGTCATCCTCACAGTATTCTTCTTGAACTACCAACCCGTGAGTAGGAGTCTTCTTGGTGAAGTTGTTGTTGTTGGAGAAGGACTTGGCTTTGTCTTTTCGGATGAACTTGCCACCATTGTCTTCCCGCTTCTCGTAAGGACAATCCGCAACGAAATGGCTCACATTGCCACAGTTGAAACAAGTTCTAACTCGTTGCTTGCCCTTGAGGCCACTTGAGTTGTTCTTGTTGAAGTTGGGTCTTGTATTCTTCTTGCTACAAAATTGTCTTGAGGCAAGAGCCATGTTCTCATGATAATCATATTTCGTGTCTTCGGGGTTGCTCTCCTCATCTTCCTCTTCTTCCACACTAACCTTGGCCTTCAAGGCAAGGTTGGGCTTCTTTGCCCTTTGAGAACGGAGCACCACATTGTCGGCGGTCTTGTCCAAGATGCTCATTGCAACGAACTCATCCAACAGTTCACTTGAGGTCATGGAGTGGAAGTCCGGTCTTTGACGAAGATGGAGGACATGGCCTTGTTGTAGGGCATCATGGCCTTGAGAAACTTGTGCTTGATCTAATTGTCATCTGTGTCCTTGCTCCCATGATCTCGGAGTGCGATCGCGAGTTTGGTCACTCTTCGAAAGAGCTCACGAGGTTCTTCATCTTCTTTCATTGCAAACTCATCGGCTTCATCTTGCACCACTTCATAGTTGGAGCGTTGAATGCTAGCACTTCCTCGGTAGAGAGACACAACACATTGCCATGCGTCTTTAGCCATGGAATGAGGTCGAAGGTGAGGGAGATCTTCGGGAAGGATTGCATCTTGGATGATGAAGAGAGCACTCTCATTGAATTGATTATCCACGGCTTCTCGAGGGGTGAAGTTGCTTGGGTCATGTGGATAGAAACCTTCTTCTATAATTCTCCAAAGATTAGTATTCACATGTTTTAAATGACGCTTGAAACGATAAACCCAAGCATCAAAATCCTCATTTTTCACAATCTTAGGAGGAGGACCGGCATGATTTAAATGAGTAGAGGGAATCGGTCCACCATAAGTAGGAGGTTCCACATGGGCGAAGATGCCGGTGCCATTTCTACCACTAGTAGAAGGACCCTTTTCACTATTAGCTTCCCCCTTGTCGGAGTTGGCATCCGTCACCTTGTTAGTGGGATCACCCACTTTCATCGGCGAGGTGGATAGTTTAAGTCCTTCTAGGAAATCAGTAAACATGCTTTTAACCTCGGTCGTCATGGAGGTTTTCAATGTGTCTAAAGCCACATTGAATTCCTCATGTGAGACCGAGGTTCCCCCTTCAGCCGTAGACGAGATAGGATTTCACACCGAGTGCTCATCCACACCGTCGTTGGTGTCAACCATACTCTTCGGACGGCAAAGTCCTTAATAAAGAGACGAGGCTCTGATACCAATTGAAAGGATCGATACGGTTGACTAGGGGGGGGGGTGAATAGGCAACTAACAATTTTTAAGCTTTTCTTTAACAATTTAAACCTTGCGACAAAGTAGGTTGTCTAGATATGCAACTAAGTGGACAACCTATATGATGCAATGACAACTAGCACACAAGCAAGCAATAGATACAACACAAGTAAGCTTGCAACAGTAAAGGCACGAAATAACCAAGAGTGGAGCCGGTGAAGACGAGGATGTGTTACCGAAGTTCCTTCCTTTTAAGGGGAAGTACGTCTCCGTTAGAGTGGTGTGGAGGCACAGTGCTCCCCAAGAAGCCACTAGGGCCACCGTAATCTCCTCATGCCCTCACACAATGCGAGATGTCGTGATTCCACTATTGGTGCCCTTGAAGGCGGCGACCGAACCTTTACAAACAAGGTTGGGGCTATCTCCACAACACTTGGAGGCTCCCAACAACACCACGAAGCTTCACCACAATGGAGTATGGCTTCGAGGTGACCTCAACCGTCTAGGGTGCTCAAACACCCAAGAGTAACAAGATCCACTAGGGATTAGTGGGGGGAATCAAATTTCTCTTGGTGGAAGTGTAGACCGGGGCCTTCTCAACCAATCCCGAGCAAATTAACAAGTTTGATTGGCTAGGGAGAGAGATCGGGCGAAAATGGAGCTTGGAGCAACAATGGAGCTTTTGAGGGAAGAGGTAAGTCAATTTTGGGAAAGAAGGCACCTTTATATAGTGGGGGAAACAATCCAACCGTTACCCCCCACACAGCCACGCACAGAGCGGTACTACCGCTTGGGCAGGGCGGTACTACCGTTGATAAGCGGTACTACCGCTCCCTCCCAGCGGTACTGCCGCGCTGACGAGGGATGCAGGGTCCTGGCCACAGAGCGGTATTACCGCAGAAGTATTGGCGGTACTACCGCCCCTACTGCCGCTACTAGTACCGTAAAACCCGACACGAAAAACAGCGGTCGAGAATTGAGGCGGTAGTAGCCCGGAACCACTGCGGTACTACGACCGAAGTCCACAAGCGGTACTACCGCTCGGGGAGCGGTACTACCGCTTGACGTGCTTCAGCGGTACTACCGCTGAGGACCGCGGTACTACCGCTGGGACAGGACAGGCAGGCACAAATTAGGAAGGATAGCTCCAATGAAGCGGAAAGAAGCATCGGGTGTGATAAGGATGTGTACGTGTTGATTCCACCCTAGCCTTACCAAAGCGGATCCCCTCTTAATAGTACGGTGACTCCTACGAAACTAGACCACCAGCAGATAAACGAAGGAGCTACACCGTCTTGAATAAAACACCGAGGGGAAGTAATCGTCTCGTGCCAAAAGGATGAAACTCTGAAAGAACTCAACGCACACGATTAGTCCGCAAAAGCATTGTCATCAATCACCAAAACATCTTGGGGATAAATATGCCCTTACAGCGTGGCCCCCCTTTCCTTCTCCCTCTCCACCTCTTTCCCCTTACCCCCTCTTCGTTGGAAGGAAGGGGGGAGCCGACTAGGACTAGGAGTCCTAATGGGACCCCCCCACTTGGCGCGCCCCCTAGGGTCGACCGGCCTCCCCATCCTCCTTTATATACGGGGGCAGGGGGCACCCCAAAGGCACATCAATTGTTTAGCCGTGTGCGGTGCCCCCCTCCACCATTTACTACTCCGGTCATATTGTCGTAGTGCTTAGGCGAAGCCCTGCGCGGATCACATCACCAACAATAGTTCGAGGGACGTCATAGTGCTGACGGAACTCATCGACTCTTTCGTGCCTCTACTGGATCAAGAGTTCGAGGGACGTCATCAAGTTGAACGTGTGCAAAACTCGGAGGTGTCGTACGTTCGGTACTTGATCGGTTGATTCGAGAAGACGTTCGACTATATCAACCGCGTTAAGTTAACGCTTCCACTTTCGGTCTATGAGGGTACATGGACACACTCTTCCTTCTCGTTGCTATGCATCTCCTAGATAGATCTTGCGTGAGCGTAGGAGTTTTTTGAAATTGCATGCTATGTTTCCCAACAGTGGTATCAGAGCCAAGTTTATGCGTAGATAATATGCACGAGTAAAACACAAAAAGTTGTGGGTGGTGATCGTCATATTGCATCACCATTGGGTGCACTGTTCGTATCCGCCTGTCCGTTTGGAGACTCAAACGAACAAAAAAGATCAAATGTCATGTTGGTTTGGGTCTCCCGTTTGAAGTTGGCCTAATGCTTTTGCGGGAGCTCTTGTTTGACACTCTGTGCGTCAAGTGGGCTGGCCCATTAACGCTGATTAGCAAGCGGTGAGTGAGCGATTTGTAAAAAACTAGCAAGCGATGTCTTTCCATTAACGTTTGGAGTAGTTTTTTTCTATGTTTTTAGCCAGCTTTAAAACACACAATTTTTTTTAAGAAGAGAACATTTATTGAAGTTATAGCATATTTTTGAAAAAACAGAAATGTGTTTTAAACATTTATGTTTTTTTGAACAATGGGAACATTTTTCAAAAAAGTATATGAACCTTTTTTATGCCATTTCCGACCATTTTTTCAGAAGGGAATATTTTTCAATTCTGAGCATTTTTTAAATCATACAGTTTTTTTTGAAGGATCACCGGCTTGATGTTGCTGAAAGCCCGTGAAAAGAAAGGAGCAAAATCTGCCACGCGCCTCCATGTCGGGCCCCCTCCCCCTCCCAGGAGACCCACGACGCCTCGCGGCGCGCGAAACTCACTCGGCCAGCACCACCTCCGGTCGGGGCCGCCGTCGTTCCGCTTCCCTAAACCTAACGGCGGCCGGGGGCCATCTCCGCTTCCCCTAACCCCTCATCTCCTCCCTGCCGCCAAGAAGAAGAAGAAGACCAGAGGCTCTAGCGATGCGGACCAGGGGCCAGACCCGCGGCGAGCCCAAACCCCCACCCGCTTCGCCCCCCACCTCCTCAGGTGCTGCTTGTCTCCGTCCGGCCCTCCTTGCCGCCCTCTTATTTAATGGAGTAGTTTGTTTGCCATCGTGTGTTTTCGCTGAAGCTATTGTTCTTCCTCCTGCAGGGAGAGGTGGAGCGGAGGAGGTTGGGGCCGGCGGCGCCAATAATCGCCGGAGAGCTTCGCCCGCCGCGAAAGGGAAATCCCCCGCCACCAAGGCGAGAGTGCAAATGCCGGTTGCTGGGCAGGTAGTAAAAGGCGCCAACTTGGGTGTTATGATTCCAGGGGATTAAGGGGGAATCTGTTTGTGTAGATAATGGAGCTAGGGATGTTCTAATGTGTTTCTTTACAAGATCATCGTTGTTTTGTGTTTATTTTACTTATACCTGTATTTCTCCCATATTAAGATGGTTGTACAACATTCAGATTAAATGAGCTGAAACGTTAGATACAAATTAATTGAGAGGACACGATTTGCCTACTGAAAGTGTTCCAGTTTTTGCATGACCCATGAAATTGAAGAATTATAGCAATTCTTAGTTTTGAGTAAAAAAAGAGAGGAAAACTTGGTGTTCAGTTCTGAAAATAGTTCCTATTTCCATCGTAGGAGGGAAATACAGCTTAGGGTCGATTTTAGTCATGGAAGGCAAACTTATGTATTCCTTGATGGGGTTTGCTTATGCATCACTTCAGGTGGAATTGGAATCCGCATTGGGGATCAAACGCAAAAAAGGTAAAGTCAATACCGAACGGAATGATGATACTGGTAAAAAAAGGTGCAGCGTGGGGAGTTCTGAAAAGGAAAAACTGGAGGAAAAAGAGCCGGAGGCAATTGGTGATAATGATGGAGCTGGCATGGAATGGGAGGATGGGCATGTCTCTCCGGTGGAATACAAAGAGGGTTATTCCCATGATCTTGGTGAGACGGTCACTGTTGAGTTCACTGATGTACCTTCATCAACTGAAAAGAAGAGTGTTCGAAGGCATACGGCTGAAGAGAAGGTAAAACATTTTCACGAGCGGAGAAATTTTTATTAATCAAAGGCATCTGCCTCCACGTGCACATAAACATTTGCATTTAGCTTCTAACCTGTTACCACTTTATCCTGTGAAATGAATTTGTGTTTGTGACTGTGGCCTACAATGTGTGCTGACTGCTAGGAGTTCCAGGTATCAGCTTGTTTGTTGAGTAGTGTAATGCTCTGCATCTGCAGCCTGGTCACAAGAAAGCCTTGAACCACATCCTGTGAAAACGGCACCAGTTCCCATTTCTTTGTATTATACTTCAAACTACTACTTTTTTTTCTGTTAGGATCTTACCAAATTCTACTTTTCGATTTATTTAGGAGTTGGCTGAACTCATGCACAAGGTCCATTTACTTTGCCTGCTAGCAAGGGGTAGGGTAATTGACAAGGCCTGCAATGATCCTCTTATCCAGGTGCATTATATTGGTATCCATTTATACCATTTTAGATTGCTCATGTTTCAAAATGATGAAATATCAAGATTTTTTTACTTATTTTATGCTAATGTTGGTGACTGGAGGTATCTTTCTTCCGAAGTACTCCCTCCATAAAGAAATATAAGAGCGTTAAGATCACTAAAATAGTGATCTAAACGTTCTTATATTTCTTTACAGAGGGAGTACTGAACTGAGGCATCTTTCAAGCTAAACCATGTTTGTTCTAAATTTTCTTTCCAGGCTTCAGTTCTATCTGTTTTACCACAGCACTTACTGTGGAATGGCGTAGACACTCTGAAACTGGACGCTAATAAATTACGTAGTCTTGTGAGCTGGGTAAGCCCCTTTTGGGCCTTGCATGTATTTATTACATGAAACAATAATTCCCACATGTTCTTTTTTCTTTCTTAAAACACATTTATTGTGCATGCAGTTCCATCGTACTTTCTGTATAATTGCACGATCTGCTGACAAGGGGTCTTTTGAATCAAATATCGCTTTCGCTCTTCAAAGTCATGAAGGCACTGCTGAAGAGGTACTGTATTGCCCCCCTTAATATTTTGCTTGCGAAGAAATTAGCGTCCTGAATTCCTTATATAGGCTGACATTATGTCTCCTTGAAGTTTTTTCAGATTTAAGAAAACTAGAAAAAAAATGAATGGTAGTAATCATGTTTTCTTGCTCCACAGTTTATTTTCTATGTTCCATTATAAATGGAGTTTATCTTCTGAAGCAGCATATTGTAAAACTGACCCACAAATGGTTTGCAATGCAGGTTTGTGCACTATCAGTGGCACTGTTTAGGGCACTCAACTTGACAGCTAGGTATGATAGCACCGTGCAACTAATTGTGTGCTTTAGTTTAGGCATATCCCCATATCTTAACATCTTGCATCAGTAATCATACACGATACATCATATTGATGTCCTTCTAGTTCCAAATTTGGTTCCATACAGGTGCATATTAATAGTAATCATTTTGCATGCTATGTATGATTTAGTTAATTTACAGTGCTGAGAACTGAATTTTATGTTCTCTATTTTGTGTGTAATTTTAAAAGAATCATGTTTTAAATATATTTAAGAAAATGTGGCTCAGGAGAACGGCTGAAAGTCAGTAAGTGGCAATTAGGCATCAGTGTTCGCTTGAAGCTAGACTTGATAAAATACTTGGGTTTCAGTTCTGAAGTTAATCCTCTATAAGTATTTCTCGTAAGTTCTCCAACCCTATCAAAGTTCCCATGAAGATTAAGCAAGAATCAGGGGGGTTACTACATTATACTGTGTTTCTGTTTACCATCTTGAGCCATACCTAAGTACATCTTGTAGGTTTGTTACAAATATGGATGTTGTTGGACTCAAGCCTGATGCTAAAGCAATGGGGACACCAAATCAAGATGGAACTAGGCTTTCTACAAGGGCACTACCATGTAGTTCTGTTGCTGCAGGCCATAATGAGTTTAATACTCTTTCTCCGGCTCGATTAGAAGTTAATACGGAACATAGCTTCAGTAGGACTAAGCAACGCGGTGATCTTGGAAATTTGAAAAGAACATCAGCTTGCAAGAGTTTGTCTAAAAACTTGTCAAATTGCAAGGCAGATCAATATGCATCAACATCGAAAGCTGAATCATCCAGCAGTCCAAATTCATTCACATCCAGTAATGCTGAAATACCAAAAAGGAAAGGGGATGTGGAATTTGAGTTGCAACTGCAAATGGCCCTTTCGGCCACTGGAGCTGAAATTCAGGAAAAGCTAGCTGCCACATCCAGTCAGTCAATTGGCACCCTACTAGATTCTACGCCGTTGAAGAAATTACGTAAAAATGCAGAAGTTGCGTCCAACTCAAGTGCAGTTTGGTCGAGAAGTGGACCGCCATTATATTGGGCTGAGGTATACTGCGGTGGCCAGACATTGACTGGAAAATGGGTGCATGTTGATGTTGTAAATGATATTATTGACGGTGAAAGAAAAGTGGAAGCTGCTTCTGCCGTTTGCAGGAAGCCTTTGAGATACGTTGTTGCCTTTGCTGGAGGTGGTGCTAAAGATGTGACTAGAAGGTTTGCCTCCTTTGGAATTTACAAGTTTTTCTATGTGCTGTTACAGCGATATATACTAGTTATGCCTTCGGTTTTTACTAGACCTTCTACTTGCCAAACCAGACAATGCAACTAATGTGAAATACTGTAGGCATGATTACTGAATTTATGTTTTGCTAATGCAACAACCTGTAATGCAAATTCAGTCTGAACCGAATGACTTGGAGCACTGTATTGCTAGTAAGTCTTAAACTTGGCAAATATCAGTAATTCTACGATTTTTCCAACGCAAACATTCAATTTGTGCTATTAAGGTTCAGGGACAGAGCCAGAAATATATGTTTCAGGTGACCAAGGTAGTAATATTTGTGCACCTACCAAACAGGTCTTCTGTACTGTTTTCATGTACTAGCAGATATCTAGCTCTGTCACTGGCGTTCTTGACTAAGGAAATTCTTATGGGGTAGGGTTTTGGAGAGAGGCAAGGGAGGGGTTGTCTCCTGTGAGGCAAGGTAGATGGATTATTCTTCTTCTACTCGCTGGATTAATTTCTCATAAAGGGGTCTAATATAGATGCCTAATAACCCAAACTAAACAACTAATCATATATCTTATGTCTAATTGGCTCATGGGCTAAGGCCGAAAACTAAAAGATATCTTCCTAATTTAAAGGATGAACAACCTAAATGAGATTTTGAGGATCCTTTCCGTAACTTGGTGCTCTTTTGTGCATGTACTACATGTTTACATGTGCATAACAATTCTTCACGTGCATAACAATCATGCTCTACAGGTATTGCTTGCAGTGGCACAGAATTGTCCAGGGAAGAGTGAATCAAGAGTGGTGGGAGAAAGTTTTGGCACCACTAGAGCAGCTTGAATTGGCAGCAACTAATGACTCTGAAGATATGGAACTTCAGACCAGGGCCCTAACAGAGCCTCTTCCTACCAATCAACAGGTACAGCTGATACAGGATTTAAGAGAGATTAATATAACTTACTTTGCCCTGCTTCTTCCAAAATTAATTGTTATCTTAATTTGATTATTATTTATGGAACCATTTAGGCCTACAGAGACCATCACCTATATGCTCTTGAGAAGTGGCTGCACAAGAACCAAGTTCTTCATCCCAAGGGTCCAGTGCTTGGCTTCTGTAAGGGGCATCCTGTTTATCCTAGATCTTGTGTTCAAACACTACAATCAAGACATGGATGGTTGACGGAGGGTCTGCAAGTCAGAGAAAACGAGTTGCCTGCAAAGGTAACAGAAGCATCGGCTTATCTTGTTTCTCTTGTCTTTTCACAGGTGGAGTAATTGTTTTCTGTTGTATGTAGATTGTCACACGACCAAAGAGGATTTTCAACTCCCAGTCGCGTGAATCCAATAGCAACGAAGATGAACTTCAGGCAACCACGGAATTATATGGTAAATGGCAACTCGAACCCCTGCAACTTCCTGGTGCTGTAAATGGCATTGTGCCGAAGGTAATGAGCATCACTTGCTATTTAGTAACCATCAGTATTTCTTTTTGTGCTTCCTACATACTGACTAAAATTTTTCTCCAAAGAATGAGCGTGGCCAAGTTGATGTATGGTCAGAGAAGTGCCTTCCACCCGGTACCGTACACTTGAGTAAACCAAGAATATTCCAGGTTGCAAAGAGGCTTGGAATTGACTATGCTCCTGCCATGATTGGATTTGATTACCGAAGCGGTCGGTGTGCTCCAATTTTTGACGGAATTGTTGTATGTGCCGAATTTAAAAATGCCATTTTGGAGGTATGTCGAGGATACTGCATTTGGTTTACTCTCCATGACTGAAACCAGTTATTCTGTTAATAAGATATACAAGATCGTTGATACAACCTAGTAATGTTGTTGACCAAGATTAAAGTTATTGAAGATCTATAACTCACATGTATGCCTAAAAAACACCAGCATAAATTGTGTAGCATGTTTCATAGATGTATTGGCTTACAAATGTAGCAGTATGAAGGATAGTATTTGGTGAACTGGCAGTGCCCTTTTGTTATTGTAGTGAGAAGTTTTGAGCTCAAGCTCCACACTTAAGGTGATGTGACATGTTTGTAATCTTGGTTAACACTTCCTGGTAGGCGTGCAAAGAAGAAGAGGAACGGAGACAGGCTGCGGAAAGGAAGCAGGAGGAAGCTCAGGCTCTGTCTAGGTGGTATCAGCTGCTCTGTTCTATTGTAACGAGACAACGGTTGAAAGAGTCCTACAATGCGCGCTCGGCAGCGCTTGCGCCACAGAGACCAGCTAAAGTTGATAATCCCCAGAAAAGCACCAGTGATAGTCGATGCTCCGGAGCGACCACGGCCAATCATCGTCCACGCGCGGATCGGCTGCCAGATCCTTGTTTCTCTGGTCCTGACCATGAGCATGAGTTTCCTGAGGAAGACCAGAGCTTCGACGAAGAGACGTTTGTGCGGACGAAACGCTGCCCGTGTGGTTTTTCGCTCCAAGTTGAGGAATTGTAGCAACTTGTACCGGAAATGTAGTACTAATTCGACTGCCTAGTGTAGGGAGCCTCTTCATTTGATCGAATTTCTCGGTACAATACTTTGCTGCATTAATTTCATCCACTGAGCAGCAAGCATTCAATGGCGCTCTCTTCTCCTCTTGCGCTCCCCTCTCCGGGGGCGGCGCCGGCCTGCGGCTCCCCCTCCTTGGCGTCCCCGCCCCGTGTGTCCTCCTCCCTCCTCTCCTCCTCGAGTTCTCCTCCGGGCTCTTCGTCGGCGACGAGGTCCGTCCCCTCCCTCCCTGCGTCTCCCCCTCCCTTCCCTGCGGCCCTGGATGTGCCCCGGGCCAATAGGTTTTGGGCTCTCGGTTCGGATGACTCCGGCTCAGACTCTGAGGCTCCTCCCCCTCCTCGCTTGGCTCCGCTGGGTGGGCCGTCGGCTATCTTGGCGACGGGTCGCCGGCGCAAATTTGCTCCGGGTGGTAGGGGTCGGCCAGTCGGGGCGGGGGTGGATGCGGATGGCTGGTACCGTGTTGCTCGCAGCCGCCGGCGCGCTGTCTCCTGGTCGTCGGATGCTTCTCTGGTGAGCCCTGGGGTGGCTGTGTTGGATTCGCCGGCTGCTTCCCTTTCGGTGGCTGCCTGCCCTGTCTCGCCGTCGGCGGTGGTCCTCGCTTCCTCGGCGGCGGCGACGCCGGTCCCAACCCTAGATCTGGGATCGGGGTTGGTGCTGGTGCCCCGGGCTTCGGTGCGGGCTCCTTTGGCTGTTGTTGGGCCGGGTGGGCCTGGGCCGACTCCTTTGGGCTCCTCGGTTGATCCCCCCCTTCTTTCTGTGGCCCCTGGGTCGAGGCCGGCTCTGTCTCAGCCCAATCTCCCTTCGGCCCACCTTGGTGAGCCTGGCCTGGCTGGCTCTGGCTATATATGGGTCCGGAAGGGTTCGGTCCCTCCTTTTCTAGGGTTTCCTGCCTCCTCTTCTTACTTGTGTCGGCTCCGTTTCCCTATCCGTCGCTTCGTCAGATTTACTCCTCCCCCTCCCCTCCTTCTCCCATTCGCGACGGTGGCGGCGATGGATCGTTCCCGCGGGTCCTCCAGTGAGGCTGTCTCCGGCCTCAAGCGGGGGCGGGACGGATCTGGTGATGCCGATGCAGATCTGGAGTACGAGGCCTCGCTCCGTGCCAAGCTCCAGGCCTCGCGTGCGGGGACCTCGTCGGAGACGGTCGTGGCGTCCCCTCGTGCTTCTGGATCCGGGCCGGCGGTCCCTCCGCCCCAGGTGGCTGATGCCCCGGTGGCCGCGGCCGACCCCTGGGAACAGGCGGCGAGGGGGAGTCGGGCAGGCTCCTCGAGGCCTTCTTCGTCTCCTCCCTCGCTTGTCCCCCTGGGTGGTGGGCTGCCGCGGGCGCCGGCGGTGGTTGGCGGCGGCCCGTCTCGTTTCGTTCCCCGTGGCGAGTCGGGGGCCCCTGTCCGTCGCTCGTTCGGTGCTGCTGCGGGACGTGGCACCGGTGCTGGTGCTGGTGCTGGCCTCCCTGGCGATGGTATCCTTCCTCCGCCTCCCTCTCGTGGCGCTGGCCGTAACCCCCCCAATCCCAGGTCTCCAATCCCATCCTTACCTGCTTTGCGTGTCACCGTCCTGGCCACTTCCAGTCTCGTTGTGAGAACCCCCATTTTGTCTCATCTGTCGGGAAGACGGCCACCTAACGGTGGATTGCCAAAGCCGTGTCAAGCCTCCCTCTTTCACTCATTACGGGATCGGCCTCCCTGGTTGTTCCTTCTTTGCCCTGGACAAGGAGGTTCCTTCTGTTGCTCCCAATCCCTCGCTCTCCAATGTTGGGGTGATTTCAGTCCAGGACAAGCGCATCTCCCCTCAGGCCCTCCTTGATGAACTTCGGTTGTGGGACGAAGGCGGGTGGGACTGGCAGATTCGCCAGCTTTCTGAATTTGAGTTTGCTGCCACATTTCCATCTAAAGAGAGTCTTCGCATGATGTCTTCTTGCACCAGCTTCACGCTCCCTCTAAATAATCTTGTGGTTTCAGTCAAAGCCGCCTCCTCTGGGTCTAAGGCCATTGCCTCTCTTTCTGATGTGTGGGTGTTGGTGGATGACATTCCTCCCAACATGCGCACCTCTACCTTTCTGATGGCCTTTGGGGTGCTTCTGGGGAAACCCATCGAGGTGGATCAAGGCTCTCTGTCCGTCCTTGGACCAGCTCGGCTTCGGGTTTGGTGCGTGGACCCAATTTGCATTCGTGGATCTATCGATGTCTTTCCGGCGGCGGGTGGTTTTCGTCTTCGGGTCCGGGTGGAGGGTGCTCCTGGCCCTGTGTCTCCTCCCCCTCCACCTCCACCCCTGGCCTCGGGCGGCGATGATAAAAGCAAGGATGGTGATGGGGGCCTTGAGGACTCGATGCATGGCACGGATCCCCGCTTCACCCAGTCTGCGTGGGATGGGTTGTCTCCTGCTGAGCAAGACCTGATGAAAGATTGTGCTCCGGCTCCGGCGGGTGGTGGGGTCCAGGGCTCGGTGCCAGGGCTGGGTGGTGGGGCGGCGGCTACGGGTGGGTCGAAGGGCACCCCTCTTTCGGCGGCATGCTCTAACCTCCCTGCTCGCCCCACCTCCCCCTCGCTGTCAGGCATTGAAGACCTACCCCCGGCGGGCCCGTCCGCGGCCAAGAAGAGGAAGAAATCGTCGGTGAAGAAGTTCTCTGCGAAGAGCAGGGCCTCTGGGGATTCGAGGTAGTCCGCGACTGGGCTTTGCCGCCGGTTGGAGGTGGATTTGGGGGCGGCCTCGGGCCCGTCTTCGGCGGCTGCTTCTCCTGGTCGCCCCTCCTGTGCCTGTTCGGTCCCCTGCTTCTACCGCCCGCAAGAGTGGCCGTGTCTCCAACAGTGGCGAACGTGTGGTGGACCGGGCGTCTCGGCATGCGGCGGCGCGGGATCTTCCCCCCTCAGGTTCGGACTGTATTCCGCCGCCTCCCCCTTCTTTGTCTTCGTCTCCTGTTAGATTAGTTCTACCTTCCCAGTCTGATGAGCAGCTTTTCAAGATTTTAGATGACATGGGGATCTGTTTAGAATCTAGTTTGGGCTCCCCTTCTTCTTTACTTGAGGTTATCAGAGCTAACGAGAAAGCTCAGGCTGACATTGCGAAGGCCAAGGAGGCCGGGGCTGGGGTGTCCGCCCCTTTGGTTGTGGCCGGGGGGGCAGTGGGGGAGGCTGACAGGTGTCAGGTGCCTCCGGTTCAGAAACGTGGGGCTGGGAAACGCGCTAAAATCTGCAAGGCTCCGTGCAGGTCGAGTCTTAGAATTAAAAACCTCTCTTTCAGATGAAGGCCTTATTTTGGAACATCAGAGGGTTCTGTGCTAGGGGGCGCAGGGACCAGCTCAAAGATTTAGTGCGGTCTGAAAAAGTTGACTTTATTGGACTTGTTGAGACCCTCGAACCCTCCTTCTCCTCTAGTGATCTTTCGGCTATTGTTGGGATTGACAGATTCAGGTGGAATTCTGTGGCCTCTGTTGGTCAGTCGGGTGGCTTTCTCCTGGGCACAAATAATGATTTTTTTGATTTTGTTGCTTTTGATCATGGCATATACTGGGCTAGTACGGTAGTTTCCCTTCGACCCCACAATTCACTTCTTGAGTTCATGGTGGTTTATGGCCCGGCCGATCATTCCTTGTCTTATATCTTCTTGGACGAGATTTATAATAAAATAACTCTTGCCAGCTACCCCTCGTGATTGGGGGTAATTTTAACCTGCTAAGATATCCTTCTGATAAGAGCTCCGATAATTTCTCTTGGACTTTGGCTGAGGCCTTTAATGATTTCATCAGGGACGCGGCCATTCGTGAAATTCCTAGGGTTGGGGCCCGATACACTTGGACTAACCGACAGGCTTCCCCTATCCGCTCTGTTCTTGATAGGGTTTTCATCTGCCCTGCCTGGGATGGCCTCTTTCCTTGGGTCTCTCTTCGTGTCCTTCCCATTGTGGGATCTGACCACGCTCCCCTAATCTTGGACGATGGATCTGGGCCTAGAGGCTGCCAAAGGTTCCAATTTGATGCATCTTGGCTCTTAGTGGAGGGGTTCCCCAGCATGTTGGCCCGGAAGATCTTGGACTGTCTCACATCCCCTCATCGCTCCTTTGGTCCTATGGATGACTGGCACCATGTTTCTTACTTCCTGCGCAAATTCCTTAGAGGGTGGTCTAAGAATCATTTTGCTGAGGTTAGGCGTGACAAAGCTAGGCTGGGTGCCCAACTTGGCGACCTTGACAGCCGTGCGGATAGTGCTGGTCTCTCGGAGGCCGATTGGCAGCTTCGGTACGGCCTTGAGAAGGCGCTTCTAGATATTCACCGCCAGGAGGAAGTTTATTGGCAACAAGGGGCACGATTAACTAGACCCTTAAGGGTGATGCGCCCACGGCTTACTTCTTTGCCATTGCGAATGGTAGACGTCGTAGATGCCTGATTGATAGTCTTCTGATTGATGGTGTTAGGGTTTCCGACCCTGCGGTCATTCTTCGACATGTGGTTCAATTCTTTTCTAATTTGCTTGCGGCTAAACCGGAGCTCGGCTTTTCACTTGCTTCGACCTTCTGGAACCCCCTTCAGCGGGTGTCGATCGATGATAATGCTCTCCTGCTTATTCCCCCTTCTGAGGAGGAAATTTTTGATACTATTCGGACCGCCAACTCTAATGCGGCTTCAGGCCCCGATGGCTTCTCTATCCCTTTCTTTCGGCATTTCTGGCCTCAATTAAAAGGCATTATTATTGCTATCATTCAAGGCTTTTGGGTGGGCACTGTTGACATCTCTAGGCTTAACTACGTTGTTCTCACTCTTATCCCTAAAATCAAAGGCGCCGATCTCATCTCTCAATTTAGGCCCATTGCCCTAATTAACAACTTTGCCAAAATGCCAGCTAAGGGCATGGTTACTAGGCTATCCCCGATAGCTCACCAGGTCATTAGCCCTTTTCAGTCTGCTTTCATCAAAGGGAGATTCATCTTGGATGGGGTGCTTTGCTTACATGAGATA